CCATTTCTCTATAGAACTGCAAGTTTTCACAGTGTTGACTCAGTAACTTTGGCATAATGGATGCATTTTATTGTGTCTGTGCCTCAGATGCTCTTGGTGACAGAGACAACGATAAGATAGGCCTTTTCATCGCTGCGTCCCTCGGGACGTTTGCTTTGATGGCTGCAGTTTACTGCATCTACAACAAGTTCTACACCAAACAGCAGTACCTGCACACCCAACTCAACAACGATCCAGGTCTGTGACAAAGTCAGAGCAGGAGAGCGTAGGCTTTGTTTCATTTTAAAGCAGCTAGATGGCAGCGCTGCACCAAAGAGGGGGCCTGGTGGTTACTCCATCATACAGTCCAACATGGTGGGGGCAGTGTGATGGTTTGAGGCTGCTCTGCTGTCTCAGGACCTGGATCACCTGCTGTAACTAGTGGAACCATGAATTCTGATCTCTAGCAGAACATCCTGAAAGAAACTGCCTGAACTTTGAACCTAAACAGACCTTTCATGCTTGAAAACCATCTAATGTGGCTGAATTAGAACAGGTATGTGAAAAAGTGGGACAAAAATCCTGCACAGTTATTTGAGTCTCATTATTGTTATCATACGTTGCTGTTGCCTCAGAGATGTTACAGCCAGTTATTAACTTTAGGGGGTGATTACGTTTTCACATGGCAACCAGTTAATTTGGATTTTTGACCTTAATGAATGAAATCATTGTTTAAAAGCTACATTTTGTCATCTTTGACCTTGGAATTTGTTGCTGATCTGAATCATTTAGGTGCAAAAATTAAAAGCATAAAACAAACTCCGGTTACGGCTTTAGATTATGTTGTTGTTTCGAGATCTTCTTTAGGGCTTTTTCCACTATCGGAACTTGAGGGTAATTTTACTGAAACTTCACGGCATGCACATGTGTCCACTTCAGCGGGCCAAGCAAAAGGACCCGAGCTGGGGTAGACCCTCGGAGATGACCCGGTAGAGTCAATGAAGGGAACTTTTGGTTCACTCAAGCTGACTGGTTGTGACCCAGTAGGCAGCCATCACTCAAAACAACCAACTTTTGTAAAAGTAGAAGAGTTGAGAAGAAGTAAAGTTTTCTTTAAAATCGCCATTTCTAAACTCCCAACACTGAAAAATGCAGCGGAAATGCCCCCAAACTACATAATTCGTGAGGCATTGTTGTCTCACAGAGCACTGTAAAAAATGATGCTCCTTCTGGTCTTTGAATGCCACATTTTAAATAGCACCGCGGAGAATAGATGAAATTAGGGCACACTTTTGATAGAATTAAACTTTTGTTGTTAGTAATATTCACGGTTGCTTTTTGACACTGATCAGTGACATCATTCACTGCTGAAGGAGTGGAACATGCAAAGTTCTTGAAAGAACGAGTCATCGTGTCAAGGTTCCCCCTTCCTAAAATGTCTCGGAAACATTATGGTTCCCATGGCTGCTCCTCATTCCAACCCCCTGTGGGAAGGGGTTCTCGTCTGGTTTAATAACACCAGTTTTCATCTTTCAGGAAATATTTAGTTTAGCTTGAATATAAAGACATGTAGAAAGTTGTGAGCACACCACTTTGGAGGTTTTATTTCCTGCAGTTTTCTACGTCTAAAGATTTTCTGGCTTTTCTGTGTGCAGATGCAACCACAGACTCCATGGACCCTCCTGTGTATTTCCACACCTCTGCTGACTCCAGTGCAACGTGCATGCTGAAATCTGGTTATGGCTCCCTCTCAGACACTCCGTCCATTATTTCTGTTCCCCCCTGTCTCTCCCCTCCTCCCTCTGCCATGCCCTTCCCTCCCCTCTTCCTCTCCTCTCGCTCCCTGAGGACTATATCAGCTCAGGATTTGGAGAAAGGTTGCATCTGACATAATGGCCCGTAAGGAAAAATAGCTGTGAAATGTGCTTTTTTGTGTTATTTCTAATATTGGTACAGAAATGACTTATCCATACTTGAAATGAGATCTTCAACCACTCTGTTTTTATTCTACGCTGCAAACATCTATCATTCATATGTGTGACGTATGGATTCTTGTTGTATGTTAGCTACATTAAGTAGATGTTTTTGTCACCAACTCAATAAAATAAACTCTGTTTCAAACAGAAGTTCTTGATTTTTGCTAAACTTGAAAACAGTAAGAATGCGCAATGTGGTGTTTTACATAAATTGGGATTTCAGCTTTAGATGGCTTTTTGGTCCTTTTTCTTGATGGAATCTATAAAATGTGGAAACTTTAAATATCCCAGCTTCAGATAAATAGTGCACGCACGCACGCACGCACGCACGCACGCACGCACGCACGCACGCACGCACGCACACACACACACACACACACACACACACACACACACACACACACACACAAACCGCATATGCTTCATTGAACTCATCAGACTAAATCCACAGCTCATACCAAATCTGAAGTGTTAGACTTATTAATTAATTCATTTACTCACTCATTCATTTTGTGTACCACTAATACCTGAGTAGGGTCACGAGGAGCTGGTGATTATCCCCAGCAGTGAGGTGAGAGGTGAGGGACACCCTGAAGCTGTCTCCTGTCCATCACACAGATGATTTATGTTATTTTTATTATGCAAACATGACATTTTAGCCCCATTTTGTCTGAGTAATTTTCACATCAAAGCAGCCACAAAAATGCAGAGCATGCTTTGATAACACTTTACAATGAGTCATTTTATTAAAAATAATTATTACGATGTTAGTACTTTATGTAATAGTTTATCAATTCCTAATAATGCACTAAGTAACAAAATAGTTAAGGTAAACAGACCTTGGCCAGCATTTGATATAGCGCCTTCTAGGCTTACACAACCCCCAAAGGCGCTTTACAACACAAACAGTCATTCACCCACTCAAACACACACTCACACACTGGTGATGATGAGCTACACTGAGAAGTGAGGCTCCCATGCACAGACACCACCGGTCCCTCCAACCCCCACCAGCAGACAAAGGCAGTGAGGTGTCTTGCCCAAGGACACAAAGACTGCAACATACTGAGCAGGGTTTGAACCTGCAGCCCTCCGGTTAGAGGGTGGGCACTTAACTCCTCTGCCACCCTAAGGTGGTAGGTACAGGAGGAGTGGGGAGGTTGATCAGGCCTTCTAATAGGGACCCCTCCAGGGTCAATTTAGGATAGGTTAAAGGGATTAAACCTATAATCCCACTGGAGAAGCTAGTAGAAATGGCTGGGGAAAAGACAGTCTCGACATCATCTCTAGGAAAACAGTCCCTTGTTTACATAATTGTGTCAAATGATTTGAAAAATTAAATTGTACTGAGACATAATGGAGACATGAAAGGGCTATGGTTCAGAGGGACCACTAGGGGCAGAAACACACCTCCGTCTCATAGCAGCTTCAGAAACAGGAAGGAGCCAGCAGAGGGAGGACTGATGTTCTTAAATATAAGGTATAAAACACAACAATATAATCATTTATGTGTTAAAAACATTTGTATATTAAAAGGGCCTTAATGCCACACTGAGGTGTTGAAATGTTGTACATCGGAGACAGAAACGTGTCGTTCTGCTTTGTTTTTAGTTGTTTCAGATTATTATTGCAGACTAACCTCCAAAGGTTTTAATAACAAACTAACTGGCTATGAGGTTTTGTTTGAAAGGTCAGAAATAAATCTAAAAGATTCCATACTTAAACAAAGGCACGCACTGACACATTGGCCATTTTGCACTGATCATTTCTCAAATCTGGCTTCAATGACATTTCATAATTTCAAATATCAGAAACATAACACAAAATATAAACAGAGCAAGGTGACATTATTAACTCTTTCACACAAATTTTCATGTTGATTTTTTTCGGTTTTGTTTGTTTACATTCTTATATATATTTTTAAATCAGGATGGAAAATGAGTGTGTTTTCATAATGTGGGTAGGATCCACCCCGAAGGTTGTTTTTGAGTTGAGAAAATATTGTTTTAATGAAAAAAAAACCTTAATATTTAAATATAGGATGGTGCATGTGCAGCAGAGGAATAAGAATACCCAACATAAAGACTAAACTCAAAATACAATGCCAAGATAACATTTGAAATGTCAAAACAAAGGCCAAAATATAACGAAGAGAGTAAAAACTAGGTCAAAAACAAAAGTTCTCTGACTTTTCCCCCTCAGCATTCCAGCTTTCTGGACTCTTTGATTCCTCTAGTGACCCTTGAACAGTCAGTCATTACTAAGTTTACTTTTTCTATTCCTCCCCATTTGTATTTTGCAGTTTCTTGAGTTTCAACATAAATCAGTGTCTTGTGTGTTTTGCAGCATCCTGCCAAACTAAATTTCTGCACATCAAAAATATTAAAGATCTATTAGTTATTCAGCAAAGGCAGATTTCTCGAAATGGCTGAAACTGGATAAATTATTATATCAATTTTAAAAATCTGGATTATTTTAGGCAGCTTTATGCATCCCCATAATGATCAAAGCAACTTTATTAATTAATATTAATTTTTACAAAGGTAAAAAAAATAATAATAAATACACAAATTGAATAAATAAAGACAACTCTAAAGCTTTAGGATCTTGTTGCACATTTGTGATCAAATTTTGAGTATTTTTCGGTCACAAAAGTCGCACAGAATCGGGAAATTTCCATTTAATATCCAATAATCTAATTTTTCCCAGATGTATTGAAGGATATTGATTATTAGGCGTTTATTTAGCTACATTAAAGCCCACCGCCGCGGACCCGTGTTTACCACCAGGGCTGGTGCGCTCCGAGAATAGCCTCCTGAACAGTCGGTGCTTAAACCTGCGTCTCTGCGTGGAAGGAAGTGACATCTACCTTCCACTCCGCACACACTTGCAGAGATTAGCGCGCCGGCAGCTGTAATCTCTTTTCAGGACCAAGGCCAGAGGCACCGTGTGGCCATGAATCCTGTCGGAAGTTACCCAAAGACGCGTTAAAAACTCGCGATCCTGGAAAGTTTCAAACCGGGGCGGACGATGGTAACTCGTTAGAAGTTAATTGAAAATCGCAGGACAATCAGAGCTGACTCTGGATCTGTGAGGAAAAAGCCCAAAGCTGTGCGCTCTCACAAGGCGCGCGCCAGGAGTCCACGGCGTCCCGGTCCTGGAGTCGTCAGGATGGAGATCCGGCCGGACAGGTTCAAGAGCGTGGCAGCAAAGACTCTGGGGAAAGTCTACGGGTATGTCAATTATTCTTATTGGATTAACAAGTTATCTGTAGGTGGGAATGTGGAGGCTGCAGCTGGAAGGTGTCTCGTTATTGGGAAGATCAAGATGTTCTCAGCCCTGGATGATCTGCCACGTCTTCAGACTGATACATGTTTGATTAAGCTATAAACAACTAAGTTATGAGCGTTTAAAGGCTTTGAAACCTAAACACGAACAGTTCAGTAAAACTGCAAATGACCTGATTTACATTCTGGGGACCAAGAACAGAATTAAATTTCATTTTAGTCCAAATGTGTCCCATCAGTGTAAGCTGATCCCGGATCAATAACTGGATCCGTTTCTGCTGTGCTCTTATGGTATCGACCTTCAGGGAAGTTGGATAATTTTTCCATTTCAGCCCTGGAATATAAAACAGGCTTTGTCTGATGGGGTGTTTTTGTTACCTTTGATATTTTCTCACTGTTTGTCAGTGGACAGAATCTCTGGAAAAATGATAAAAACACATTTCTGGGTTTTTAAAGGTCAATAAAAAGTTTGTTTTCACAGTAAGATTCTGATCAGGTAAAGAACAACAAATGCGATGATGAGTCCGGACTGTTTTTAGCCAGCAGTGGAATCGCGGGGCTACTTTTTAACACCTCCCACCCCTCTGAGGCTGAGATCAGTGGAGTGATGTGAGGACCAGCAGCTATTGATGGAGTCCCCTTTCTCTCTCGTGGGATTTGATGCACTGTCTCAACACTTAAATCCTCTCCACAAATAGCCTCTCCTCTCCAAGCTGCCGGCCTGCGTAAATCCCTGTAGGATGTTCACCTGGGCTATCTCTCCCCCATAAGTAGCCTGTCACTGTGTGCCTCCCTCCCCCCTCATCTTATAGGGCATCTAACAACCGGGATTAGACCACTCGGCCCACACGGCAGAAAGCTGTAAGCTGTCGTTTCCGTTAGGTGCACGTGCTCTGAGGTGTTCCCTCTGCGGCTGAGTTATACCCAACATTTCCTGTCCTCTGAACGCAACATCCCGAGGAGGAGGAGGTGGCTTTGAGATGGAACCATAAGTCTACTTTGCTGTATCTCAGCTTTACTCACATAGTCTCCTAATATGCAAATTATTGTGTGCATCACTTGTTTGGATGCATCAAATTTCAAGATCAGGACAAAAGGGCTCACACTGATGCTTAAAACAGAATATGACATGATGTTCTAGCTGTTTTCTTTGTACAAACCTTTTAATATTTAGAAAACAGTCACATCATTTAAGAATAATGTCCCTCCAGGGCTTCCATCTGTCCAACGTCATTTTATCCTTTCAGTTTGGAGAAGTTGGTTGACCCTCTTTTATCCAATCAGTTATTCCAAGCTGCTAAACTCTGAGTTAGCTCATCTGCTTTATCCATCCTTGACGTATAAATTAAGAGATTAACTTTCAATACTAGTTTAGCTCATTAGATCCCAAATAATACTCTTTTTTTAGTTTGTTTAAAATATTCTGCAAAAACTGTTTTGTTCAGGCTTTTGTCTCAAGTTGTAATGGGAAGAAATCCAGGTAGCTTTTCGGGATTACGTCAGATTTCCTGCATTGCAGTGATAAAAAGTCACACGCAAACAAATAAAAATAAAACCACACAAGGAAAATCCTCTGGAAAGCAGAAGATAAATTGGTGTCAAAGAAGTGAATGCGTGCGTGTGAGGCGATGTGTGAGTCAGGGGAGATGCTGGTAAAAAGGCAGGGTGAAGATGATGAGGAGGAGACAGGAAGAAGGAGGAGAGGCACGCCCTGACAAAAATAGACCGAGAGTCAGAGATATATCCTATTAATAATTGAACGTTGAGGATCATTAATACTTCATCATGGAGAAAGTGGTCGACAGTCCTGAATGCTCGCCTACAGTAAATAAGAGAGGTTTGTTTTACCAAGGGAAGGTCTGTGTGAATGTCACACACAGTCTTGTGACAGAAACATTTAAATTATTATTACATTCAGGTTTTTTATGACTGTAAAAGCAAACCAACGACATCGCTGTGCAGCTTTCCTTTAGCAAGATTTTGGATAACTGCCTTGGGTTATTCGAGTGGAGCTTGTAACTAATGATGATGATTCAAACAAGCGCATTTTTGTTTGAAATAAACTGAGTGATCTACTACAACTCTGAAACAGGTCAAGGATTTATGTTTGTCAGCACACTTTCTTTAGATTTCTGCTCATCCAATACAGATAAAATCAAAAGTGTGTTTAAAACGTTTCCAAGTCAGTTTATTGCTGTATAATGTACAGGTGTGGCTCACATTTGCAGTGGGATTTAGTAGCATACAGATAAACCTATTATAATATTTATTATTACTGTAATAAATGCCTTGCATGTCATATTTGGGGGTAAAAATACACCAGTGCATCAGTTTCAGGAACTAGAAGTGTCCCACATCACAGCTGAGCTTCAGACGGCAGGATTTGGTGTATTATTTCCATATATTTGGACATCTCGTCTCTGATTGGCTATCAGCAATGCAACTCTGCCGCTGACTCTGTTTGCTCCGTGACTTTGATGTTTTATCTCCATAAATAACACAAGCCTGGAAGAGTTCTGCTGTGTGGTGGTGTTGCTAATGCTAACAGTTAGCTTCTACTAGCCAAGATGTTCTCTGCTGTTTCCTGGATGAGACACCAACAACAGCCTTCCCCATCGTGAGCCAAGATGGGTGAGTCTGTGAATATTAAGTGACAGTGTGATGTAGATCTGTCAGGATTTTCCAATCATAGAGTTTCACCATCTATTTTCTATAAGAAGCTATTGCAGGAGATAGGTGTAGGAGACAACTTTCATGTTTAACTTGCATGAAACACTCAGAGCGTCAGATTATAATCAGAAATATGATTTTTTAAAAGTTTGTTCAGTGTTCCATATCCATCCATCCATCCATCCATCCATCCATCCATCCATCCATCCATCCATTTTCTTCCTCATATTCAGAGTCGGGTCGCGAGGGCAGTAGCCTAATTCCATCTTTTAGTTCTTTTTAAAACACAGAAAGGTTTTATTTACCTGCAATGTTTCGTTTGCGGCTGCAGACTTTGTCAGGCTGCTTCAACACAGCAAGAACACACCAAAGAGGCAGCAGCCTAAGTCGAGAGGCTCAGACTTCCCTCTCCCCAACTACTTGGGCCAGCTCTTCCGGGGGAATCCCAAGGTGTTCCCTGGACAGGTGAGAGACATAGTCCCTCCACCGTGTCCTGGGTCTACCTTTAGGTCTCCTCCCGGTTGGATGTGCCTGGAAAACCTCACCCGGGAGGCGTCCAGGAGGCATCCTGACCAGATGCCCGAGCCACCTCAGCTGACTCCTCTCGATGTGGAGGAGCAGAGAATCTTCTCCGAACCCCTCCCGGATGTCACTGAGCTTCTCAACCTATCTCTAAGGGAGAGCCCAGCCACCCTGTGGAGAAAACTCATTTTGGCCGCTTGTATCCACGATCTCGTTCTTTCGGTCACTACCCAAAGCTCATGACCATAGGTGAGGGTAGGAACGTAGATCGACCGGTAAATCAAGAGCTTCGCCTTCTGACTCAGCTCTCTCTTCACCAGAACAGACTGGTACAATGCCCACATCACTGCAGATGCAGCACCAACCTGCCTATCAATCTCGCGCTCCATCTGTCCCTCACTCGTGAACAAGACCCCCAGGTACTTAAACTCCTCCACTTGGGGTAGGACCTCATCCCTTACCTGGAGGAGCTGATTCTCATCCCAGCCGCTTCACACTCGGCTGCAAACCGCTAAACCGAAAGCCGAAGATCCCATTCTGATGAAGCCAACAGGACCACATCATCTGCAAAAAGCAGAGATCTGATCCTCAGACCGTCAAAATGGATGCGCTCAACACCTTGGCTGCGACTAGAAATCCTGTCCATAAAGGTTATGAACAGAATCGGTGACAAAGGGCAGCCTTGCCACAGAGGAGCTTTTTAACCACCTCAGTAGCCTCAGCACCAGAGATTTGAGAGCCCAACTCAAAGCCCCCCCGACTCTCCATCTTTAATGAAAATTATTTTCTTCAGCACTTCAAATCATCACCCAGCTTGTTTTTTATCTAATAAACTTGTGTTTAATGGTGGAGCAGGGATGTCCAAAGAGTGGCTCGTGGGTCACTACTGGCCTTTAAATGTTTCCTGTTGAATTTGTCAAAAAATGGTGGATGTTGAAGTGGAATCCAAATGCAGTAAACCCAAGAGGAAGTTAAAACTCTTTAATGGAATAGAGGGCAAGGGCAGGAGGAGCAGAGGGAGCAATGAACTAACACACACAAGGAACTGTCGATGAGTGGAGGACTGAGCTGGGTTTAAATAGACTGAGGAGGTGAGTAGATACAGGGAACAGGTGTCATGCTTACAGATTACAATGATGAGCAGGTGTGCCTAGTTCACTGAGGCAGAAACACAAGACACTGGGAGGATAGGAAAATAAAATAACTGGATAATAAAACAAACTAAAGACGGTGGAGGATTAATGTAACTAAGAAAAACAAAACCTGGAGATTACGGAAAGGCTTGGAGGAAATAAGGACAAACTATGAAACTTAAACAGGATCTATAAATGAAAACTGATGACAGAAGGGAAGGAGCAAAACAAAAGTTAACTGAGGAAAACTGAGATTTGATTACTCTAAACAAACAGCTGAGGAAACACAGAGGTCAAAGGTCATGGACACACGAATAGAAGAACTACACTGAATACCAAATAGATTAAACAATACAACGGGAAACTAAACTGCATCGGGAATGTGAGAGAACTAAAATGAATGCTGGGGATATGGGAACAGAAGACCGGAAAACCAAAGACAGGGAAAAGGGGACAGACATGGGAGGGACTGGGAAGACATAAGACACAGGACATGACAGAATTTGGCACAGCCTGCTGATGTGAAAACCAACTTTTAAAATATATCTGTAAGATTCTTATTAATTTCTGGATTTTTAAATTAAAACGTTCCTATTTTGTGCCCCATGATTATTTCCAACTTGACAATTTTGACATCAACCTATGGGTCCCAGGCTATAGGCCCATCAGTTATTTCCATTTGGTCTGCATGGTATTAAAGTCAACCTCATCCATCCTGATACAGGAATCGTCTGCAGACCAGCTCAGAGAGGGTTACGATGGATGTGCCTTAGCCAATCAGAGTGCTTGCTCTAAGCATGTGTCCAGACTTGACTCAGGTGCTGAGGTGAGGTGGCTCAGTAGGATGTGAGAAGCTCTGAAACATCAGAGACATGAGTTTTGGTCTTAGAGCACAACTAGCTGAACGTGGATAACGAAATAGTTAAAAAGATGAAAACTGAGCTGTGAATGTTGCTCTGATAAACCATCAGAAATCTTACAGATGGCTCGACATCCGTGGAGTGTGTTGGGTTCTTCAAGGCTGGATGTAAATACTCAGTTTTCACAAATGCCTGAATTGTTGTATCTTATTTACAACTATCATGAAAATATGAGAATAAAAAAATGTTAAATGATACCACCTTATATTATTTATACCTTGATTTAATTTGTTTTTATATTACTACTTTAGATTTGATTCTATTCTTTATTGCACCAAACAAAATAATTACCCAAAAGAAAAAAGGGACATTTTTCTTAATATGGACACTCGAGAGTTAATATATCTTCACATTTAAACTTTGGTTTATGATGAACATGCTCCATCTGGAGGCATCTGTTTTAAATTCTGCTGCCACTGATTGACTGCTGAAGGTCTTGCCTTCTCCCCTGGACATTAGAATGGTGTTTGATATTAACGCCATATCATTGAAAATTCACTTTTTGGAGCTTTTTACCATGAGATATTGTTATGCCCTCGTGAACTCTCCCAAAACCCACTTGTTGGGTTATTTTAAAATTCATTAACCCTTAAACTTGAAATGAACACACACAAAGAGGAGGGAGGTCGTTTTACGCTGTATAGCCAGAGCAGCGGAGGGAAGACATGGCAAAACCCCTCTGGGTCTCCACCATACTTCTCTGCCCCTCCTTGTCCCACAGTAAGTTTTATTGATAAGACAGGATGAAGAAGGTGGGGCCTTCTCGAGTTACAGAGTTACAGACACAAACAACGCACACACATCACATTCCAAAACTACTCCGTCAGATGGAAAGCTGTTTAGCATAGGGAGTGAAAACAATGTCACAACATTTCCTTCATGCAAACCCAGGTGCTTCCAGTCAACATTCTATTTCTCATGGGAGTATATCCGATAACACAGAACAGCATGATCTGAGGAAGGCTGTCGTCAAAATGTTGGGATGGGAGGACTGGCACAGGATAACACTTGCATTTAATGAAGCATCAGGTGTTTTACTTAAAAAGGCAGTTATGGTTTTTAAGCAGTAAAGTAAACGAAAACCACTTTTTCTCTATCACCACTCATGCATCTCCCCGTTTCAGCTGCAAATTTTGAGTTTTACTTTGAAAATCCTATAAAGCCTTAATGGAAACTAATCTGGTCATCAGGACCTGCTCCTCTCCCGGAAGCTAGTCTCTGGTCTGAAACCTGTCTCCGGATATGGAGCTTAGGCAGCAAACATCATGAAACAAACTTGATTCTCTAGTGGTTGGTATGCTGGGCTGGTATGTCATTTAGTGCAGGTTCACATCCTGGTCTGAGCAGTCACTTGTTTTCTTCTTTTTTAGCTACACTTGCCGGTATGATGTTTTCAACACTTTATTGGTAAACTGTTTAAATTATAAGGACTAATCTGTTTATTTATTTAATTATTTATTTTTTACCTTTTTTGTTTATTTAGCCAGTGTGAGTCCATGTGAGGCGAGCAGAGTAAATCTGCTTAAATGTTGCTAGGAAACGACCAAATGTTGGTAGGAAACGACCAAATTCAAAGATCTGTAGAGGCACCAAATATTTTGCAGAAAATAATCAGTAAAACAAAACTATGAAATAAATGAAATCTGTTTCAGCTGCCTAAATAAATTACTGCCAACACCACCGGGATTCAAACCCACATTAGCACACCTTAACCTATGGACTACCATAGCCAATAGCAACTGACTCGCCTAAGGCGCTGTTGTAGGCCCGTTTTGTCGGAGTGGGTGGAGTTTCACTTAAACAAACCATTTTATTTGTAGGTATAAATTTAGGCTGATGAAAATAACTCGTATTTAAGATAAATGATACCTCAATAGTGCCAACAGTAATATATTATCATATCAGATCATATTTTATCAAATACCTCTGCTCTCAAAGGTTTAAAAGAGCATGATCTGGAACCTTTAAACATATTTAAATAAAAGAAAGGGTGAAAATCCAATGAAAGGCAAACATTACAAAAAATGCATTAAAACTGTAGCTTGTGGTCTTCTTCACCACAACAGATTCCACTTACAGCATGGAAAAAAGATGTGAGATCAGCCCAGGCCATGGTGTGCTTAAAGGTGTGGATCACAGAAAAAATGATTTTCAATGATAATTTCTGATCATCAGTCATTTTGAGTGTTTCACGCAGGCTGAACATGAAAACAGTCTCCTACACCTATCTCCTGCATTAGCTTCTGATAGAAAATAGATGGTGAAACTCTAGAATTTGAAAATCCTGACAGATCTACATCACACTGTCACTTAACATTCATGGACTCAGCCATCTTGTCTCACAACGGGGAAGGCTGTTGTTGGTTTAGTGTCCAGGAAACAGCCGACAATGTCTCAACTGGTAGAAGCTAACCATTAGCATTAGCTACTCAACAAAACAGCAGATAAAACATCAACATTGCAGAGCAAACAGAGTCAGTGGGAGAGTTGAATTGCTGTTATCCAATCAGAGGCAAGATGTCCAAATATCAGGAAGTCTCCAAATCAGGTGCTCCTAGGCTTTTTTCCCCCAGAGTACGATTTTGAAGGCCTTCAATCCCACTAGAGACCGTTGCAAACGTATTGAGTAAACAAGTGAACCACACCTTAAACACTTGATGCTTGTTAGACAGGAAGCCAGAAGAATTTCACGTTTCTCTACACCTTCCCCGAGCAGCAAGAGGAGCGGATGAACAAGATTCTGTAATCACCTCTGAACTCTTCTTCCTCACTATTGGTCAGTTTTAACTGGAGACAAATAAATAAAAATCTACATTAAATCCACCCCTGAGGACAGGTTAAAGCTTTTTTCAGAGACTTGTTTGGACAGGTACTTGTTCACAATCAGAGTCATACGTAAAGCACAATCAGAATTTTCCCATTTTCAGGGATTATGTAGAATTGTTGGAAATCCATGAAAGTCAAAGTTTTACTCCATGCTGAAATAAAATGTCAAAAATATATCAATTTCTTTTACTATGTCCTCCCTGTCTCGTACTTTTCTATTTGAATGAGCACTGTTCAGCATTAGCCAGCGGCCTCAGACATCTGCTTACGCACAGATGTTAGTCACATGAATGAGAGGCGCTGCTTCCAGCTCTAATCATGGAAGTACAGAGGTCCAGTTAATTATTTCCACCTCTTTCTTCTTTGAGAAAAACTCTGGATTTCTGTTTTCAACTACGTTATCTGTAAGAACTTCTGCAGGAGTCAAAGATGTGTTGGAAGCTCACCCAGACTTCCTTCTTTCAGAGCTCTAGAAAAGAAGCAGGAAAATGGTGAAACCATTGAGCTGTCAGCCGAGGGCCGGCCTGAACTGGTGCAGGAGAAAGAGCTACCCGTGGTGGACTGCACGTGCTTTGGCCTGCCCAGGCGCTACATTATTGCCATCCTCTCCGGTATTGGCTTCTGCATCTCCTTTGGTATCAGGTGCAACCTGGGCGTGGCCATCGTCAGCATGGTCAACAGCCACACCATCTTCAGAGACAACAAGGAGGTCATAGTGGTGAGTGATGACTCAACAGTGTCAGATGTATTCAGTGTTTTTAAACAGAACATAGCCTCTTTCTTTTCAAAACAGCCTGTAAATTAGGCGAGTGTTTCATCATCGACGACTCATTTTCATCAGGATCTCTGAAACGTCCCGACACAACTTTCTAGAACTGACTGAAGAAAAAGTTTCTTTTACAGGGATACTTTGCAACTTTTTTATATTTAACAATAATTGTGCTGTCATGTACTAAAACGATCCTTTTCAGGGTTAAAGGTTGAATATGGAATGCTGACACTGGCGGACACTCTGGCGAACTCTGGTGTTCAGAGGTGGTATCGCAGCAAGAAGACTAATTTTCCAGCAGTCGGGATGATGGTTCACTGCTGACACTTTCCAGCACCATGTTCAGAGACAAATCGTACAGAATGAGGACTCATTTCTACTAATATGTTTATGTTACAGCAGTATTTACTTTTAGAACTGGGGCTGTTAGATTCTGGGCTCAGAATCAGCTGCTTGACTTGTTACGTCTGCCATTTTACACAGTCCCAACCTTGCCTTGCTGAGCAGACCTTTTAGCGCAGTGGCGCCCTCTAGTGGCTGTTCGATGTAAACAAAAACACAGCATCATGCCCGACAGAAAAAACATTTGATTATTTATCTTTTTAAATATAGCTTTTAAATGATAAACTGTACATTCATTCTGCACGCCTCTGAATGCCCCGCGGAGGTATTTTTTGTTTTTTTAATATAGTTTTTTATTAAAATGTTCCATATTCTAACTTTAATGAAAGGCCATCCAGCCCCTATCACCCCCTGTGGCCAGAATATTCCACTTGCAACTTTAGACTGGCAGGCCACTCTGATGCAATTTAGAAAAAATGTAGCTGACATACCTGGCGCTGCAGTCTGCTTCCAGCATGTTTCCTGCTTGTTTTAGATCATGAACACAATGCATTTGTTTAATTTAGTGAGGAAACACTCCTGTAGACACCAAAGAAGACTGAGAGACATTTCAGCTGTTAGATTAAGGTGTTAAAAACACGAACGCACAGCGAGGAGATACGTTTTCCTTTCTGTTCTACAAACGGACACTAGAGTGTGCTAAAAGCAAATCAAAACTGCCTAGTCTCCCTTTAAATTTCAGGTTTCTTTTTTTTGCAATTACTCAGTATCAAGTGTTGCTATGAGAATTCCAATGAGGGGATATGTTTTATGCTATCACAAGAGAGTGTACCTCTTGTTATGCTCAAGGTAGAGGAAGGCCCTCATACCTCTGCAAATGTCTTTAATAAAGTCAACAGTACCATCCATAATTACTGTAACAAATCCAGGATCGACCTAAATAAAAAAGCAAATGTCAACAACAAGAAAAACAAATCTAAGAGAAAAAATAACACGATCATATTGATTATTATAAATGAAGTGAAGTACTGTGGTTTTTTCTGTAGGGGTCACTGTTCACTTATAATTTAACTCAAAGTGCACCAACAGAGCCTGTTTTTAATGCTATACAAATTTCATCATCATCATCATCATCATTATTATTATTATTATTATTATTATTATAAATTGCAGCTTTAGGTAAAATGTATTTCCAGATGCATCATTTCCCCTCTCTATCCCAAACAGGAAGCACAGTTCAGCTGGGATCCAGAAACAGTGGGAATGATCCATGGCTCTTTTTTCTGGGGATACATAGTCACCCAAATCCCCGGAGGGTTCATCTGCCAAAAGTTTGCCGCAAACAGGTCTGCTTATTCTCCTTAAAGTGTATTATATTCAAAATAATTCTGAATTCTGAATAATCTCTTCTTTTTCATTATTGTTTCAGGGTTTTTGGCTTTGCTGTCGTGGCGACATCCTGCCTGAACATGCTGATCCCTTCAGCAGCACGGATACACTTTGGATGTGTGATCCTCGTGAGAATATTGCAAGGTCTCGTAGAGGTGCGTTATTCTCCTCCTAATTAGCACTTCTGTTTACAAACACTAAAAATGTGTACATTTTAGAGTTTTAATCACAAAGTCTGGTCCTGACCTACAGGGTGTTTCATATCCAGCCTGTCATGGGATTTGGGCTAAATGGGCTCCTCCTCTTGAAAGAAGCCGACTGGCCACAACTGCCTTTTGTGGTGAGTTCAGGAACACTGATCCTGTCTTTAAAACATTCTCACCAAACAGCAGAGCTCAGATCGTTAGCTTGATAAGTAAAAACTAAGTTAATTCGTTAACTTCGTGAACAAATCCAATTTTGTTCATGTAGTGCTTTCCCCTGTCTTTAAGGGAGCCCAAGGCGCTGAACCTGACATTAACTAAATCATAAAATAACAGAGAAAAACTAAAAAAGTTGTAGCAGCACACAAAATAGTAATTAAGAAGATAAAACACAGATGATGAAATTCTAAAAATTATGTTACATAAAAGTCAGACGATAAAATTTATTCTTCAAGCAACTCTTAAAGACCAGCAGTGATGTTATTTTTCTAAATACTGTTGATTTTGTAAAAATGTGCAAGACTTGTGGTAAACCAGATGTTTTTCCTTTCCTAGGCTCATATGCAGGAGCTGTGATCGCCATGCCTTTAGCTGGGATCCTGGTCCAGTACTCAGGGTGGTCGTCTGTCTTCTACGTCTACGGTAATACACCGACTTCCATCTAAACCTCCAGTCAGATGGATCCAAACTCAGGAAATTAGTGTTTAAAACTCAACAACAGAGTTCTCTGGTTCAATATTAGTGAAAAAGGATTAAAAGTTTAGACATGACAATAGTTCTGCTTGTGCTGACACAGAAACACAAAAGGAGCTGATACAAAACAAAAAGGACCCGAAACCACAACTGGCAGGGATTGCAAATAGAAATGAATGTCCCACATATGATTTACAGAGGAGCTTTAATGTTTGGACATGGAAATTAATTATTCTCTTATAAATTTCACTGAAAACAACTTTTGATTTTGATATAAGACAAATATCTAAAAATCATTCAAAGAAATAAATAAAAAAAACAGCAAAATACCCTTGTATTTACAGCGGCCTGTACCTAAATCTTTTATTTTCTTATTTTTTTCCCTAATTTGTAATCATCGATCATTGTATTGTATAATTTTATGACTTTGTTTTTATCTTTATGTGTTTATTGCGTTATTTGTTTTGTTTTGATTTATGTGGAACACTTTGTGACTTTCTGTCTGTGATGAGTGCTAAAATACATAAAATGTACTGGTAACACTTTATAATAAGTGCACATTAACTAATGCTTAATAGTGTGCACTTATTATAAAGTGTTACCAATGTACTTACTTACAAGATGTGATAAAAATTACTGTTGTTTAAACCCATTTATTCACATTTTATCCCTGTGAGGGGCACGATTAATTGTCGGTATCCAACACGTTTTAGTTTTAACTCTGCTTCAACACACCTGATTTCCATCAGCAGGTGATTAACGGGCTTCTGCAGAGCCTGATGAGCTGCTGCACAGGTGATTCAACCACTGAATCAAGTGACTTAGAAAACATAGCGCTGACATACCTGGTGCTGAATTCTGCTTCCAGCACATTTCCTGCTTGTTTTAGATCACAAACACAGCTGTTTTGTTTAATTTAGTGATGAGCCACTCCTGTAGACACTAATGAAGGCTGAGGAGACATTTCAGCTGTTAGATTAAGGTGTTAAAAAGACGAACAAACAGCAAGGAGATAGATTTTGGTTTCAGTTCTACAAACGGACACTAGGGGACGCTTAAAGCAAACCAAAATTGCTGAGAAAAAAAATTCCAATTGAAATAATTTGACATTTTTAACAAATTAATAAATGGAAGATATATTTGTTTTATGAAAAATTTACATGGTCGTAAAAGCATGGAATGAAAACCAGTTGAATCAGACAAGATGCTTGGATGTAGCTACTCTTGATTCGCTTTGTTTCTAGACTTTTCCAACCGTATCCACTGAGTCCAAGCCTGTTTTCTTTTAAACGTTTCCTCCAGCTTCCTCTTGTTCAGCTTTTATTTATGTATTTGTTTGTTTTCTTGTGAACCAGGAAGTTTTGGTATCCTCTGGTACTGCTTCTGGATCCTGGTTTCATACGAGAGTCCAGCGGCACACCCCACCATCACAGAGGAGGAGAGGAAATATATCGAGGAGAGCATCGGCGAGTCAGCCCAGCACTCAGTGACGGTCAGCTAAGGCAGATTTGGATTAGTATGCATCAGATCTCAGGCCTGCACTTTATATCCTTGCATCAGTGTTTAAACAAAGTGTAGAGAAACTGCACACAAGAAGAGGCTGAGTCATGCAGAAGTAACAGCTTATCACACCGACAGCAGCAGACAGATTTAGAAACCCTGACAATCTAAAAAAAAAACGTTCCACTCTAGCACCTTCTCACCGAGCTCAAGGTTCTACCAACAAACTGATCTTATAAACAACTTCTGTATGTTCATTTTGTGTATTTTGTCAACTTGTTTTGTTCTTTTGAAACACAGAGAAAAAGAGTTGTTCTTTACTTTGTTTGCTAACGTTTCGGCTAATTATAGCTGTTTCATATGCATCCATTTGTGTATATGTTGAATATAGCTATTCAGTTAAGTAAAAGGAAATAAGTGAAACTATTTGTATTATAGAAATTTAACACACCGTGGAGGGCCTTCTTCACCTCCATGCCAGTGTACGCCATCATTGTAGCCAATTTCTGCAGAAGCTGGACCTTCTACTTGCTCCTCATCAGCCAGCCGGCCTATTTTGAGGAGGTGTTTGGATTTGAAATTAGCAAGGTAACTCCATGTAATCCTGCTCCACTTTAAAATGAATGACTACCTCACTTACAATGGGTGCTTTCTCTTACACGTCTAGGTTGGCATAGTGTCAGCTCTACCCCATCTGGTCATGACCATCATTGTGCCCATCGGAGGCCAAATCGCTGACTATTTGCGCTCTAACCAGATCATGACCACGACTAACGTCAGGAAACTTATGAACTGTGGGGGTAAGAATTAAAAAAGTACCATATTTGTGTGTTTGGTGTCAGTTTACAGCAATATCTGGTGTTTTACCTTTAAAGCTACAATGGAAAATCCAGAGGTGTGGACTCGAGTCACATGACTTGGACTCAAGTCAGACTTGAGTCATTATTTTAATGACTTCTGACATGACTTGATAAAATCTATAAAGACTTATGACTGGACACAGACTTGAACACCAATGACTTGCGACTTGAATCGACTTGCATATGTTGACTTGATGATGACTTGATGACGACTTGAGCATATTTGATATTTTAGCACAAAAGTGGCACGACATGGACAAAAATCATAAATTATTCTTCGTTGCAGCACTTTGTTTATAATCAGTTTCAGTTGCACTTTCTGCTTGTTTCAGCAAATAAATGAAGCTTTAAGAAGTTTTATTTCTGGGATTTATTTATTGTCATCATCATTAAAGTGAAGTTGGACAGATGACTTGATTAAGACTTGAAAATTCTAAGTTAAGGACTTAGACTTGACTTGGACTTCCACATCATTGACTTTGGGCTAGACTTGGACTTGATTGTCTTTAACTTGGACTTGACTCGAGAGTTCTTTTTTTTTCTTTGGGTCTTTATTTTGGTTTATAGCATTAACATAAAATTTTTCTTTTCAAACAAAACAATAGTTGACTGGAAAGACTTGTGACTTACTTGTGACTTGCAAAGCAGTGACTTGGTCACACTTCTGGGAAAATCTGCAAACAGTCTGAGATTTATTTTTTAACGCCTATTAACAAAGTTCTAACATTGTATAGCTATAAATATATTGAGGAGGTTTAAAAAAATCAAGTGGTTCTGCCAGATTTGTCCAAAAACCTCAGCCAAAAACACGGCTCAGTCCGAAACCGATTGGACTATCCAGTTGTCTTTTTCACCGGACCACCGCTCTTCTGCACTTCCCTGGGTCGTCCGTTCGCGTATTTAGCAACAGAACACTACTGATGTGAGAGGTTCTCTGTTCAGTAAAATCAAAGCCAAAGGAACCGTCTCTGTCGAGTCACAATGAAGACATGCTTCTCTGATCACGTGACGCAGGTGAGGCATTTACTCAATCAAGTGACGATTACTTTGGCTTGGGTCACCAGGAGGTCACCTCATTAGTTGTTTTGCTGTTGAGTTTATGCTAATGAAATACAGTGAGTGCAGAATTATTTGGCAAGTTGTATTTTTGAGGAATAATTATATTATTGAACAACAACCATGTTCTCAATGAACCCAAAAACTCATTAATATCAAAGCTGAGTGTTTGTGGAAGTAGTTTTTAGTTTGTTTTTAGTTTGAGCTATTTTAGGGGGATATCTGTGTGTGCAGGTGACTATTACTGTGCATAATTATTAGGCAACTTAACAAAAAAAAACCATTTCAATTATTTATTTTTACCAGTGAAACCAATATAACATCTCCAAATTCACAAATATACATTTCTGACATTCAAAAACAGTACAAAAACAAATCAGCGACCAATATAGCCACCTTTCTTTGCAAGGACACTCAAAAGCCTGCCATCCATGGATTCTGTCAGTGTTTTGATCTGTTCACCATCAACATTGCGTGCAGCAGCAACCACAGCCTTCAGAGAGGTGTACTGTTTTCCCTCCTTGTAAATCTCACATTTGATGATGGACCACAGGTTCTCAATGGGGTTCAGATCAGGTGAACAAGGAGGCCATGTCATTAGTTTTTCTTCTTTTATACCCTTTCTTGCCAGCCATGCTGTGGAGTACTTGGACGTGTGTGATGGAGCATTGTCCTGCATGAAAATCATGTTTTTCTTGAAGGATGCAGACTTCTTCCTGTACCACTGCTTGAAGAAGGTGTCTTCCAGAAACTGGCAGTTGGACTGGGAGTTGAGCTTGACTCCATCCTCAACCCGAAAAGGCCCCACAAGCTCATCTTTGATGATACCAGCCCAAACCAGTACTCCACCTCCACCTTGCTGGCGTCTGAGTCGGACTGGAGCCCTCTGCCCTTTACCAATCCAGCCACGGGCCCATCCATCTGGCCCATCAAGGCTCCCTCTCATTTCATCAGTCCATAAAACCTTAGAAAAATCAGTCTTGAGATATTTCTTGGCCCAGTCTTGACGTTTCAGCTTGTGTGTCTTGTTCAGTGGTGGTCGTCTTTCAGCCTTTCTTACCTTGGCCATGTCTCTGAGTATTGCACACCTTGTGCTTTTGGGCACTCCAGTGATGCTGCAGCTCTGAGATATGGCCAAACTGGTGGCAAGTGGCATCTTGGCAGCTGCACGCTTGACTTTTCTCAGTTCATGGGCAGTTATTTTGCACCTTGGTTTGTCCACACGCTTCTTGCGACCCTGTTGACTATTTTGAATGAAACACTTGATTGTTCGATGATCACGCTTCAGAAGCTTTGCAATTTTAAGACTGCTGCATCCCTCTGCAAGATATCTCACTATTTTTGACCTTTCTGAGCCTGTCAAGTCCTTCTTTTGACCCATTTTGCCAAAGGAAAGGAAGTTGCCTAATAATTATGCGCACCTGATATAGGGTGTTGATGTCATTAGACCACACCCCTTCTCATTACAGAGATGCACATCACCTAATATGCTTAAATGGTAGTAGGCTTATGAGCCTATACAGCTTGGAGTAAGACAACATGCATGAAGAGGATGATGTGGACAAAATACTCATTTGCCTAATAATTCGGCACTCCCTGTATTTACATTGGAACTCTGTTGAATTTTTAAACATGAAATTCTGCAGTAGAATTTTTATGCATTTAATTAACATTTCTAATATATAATTTCACAGAATAAAAATACATTGTCATAAATTCAATGTAAAGAATAAATCATATTCTGGTGAGACTATTTTTCTTCCATACTTCAAATTTAAGACAAACTACCAGAGTCCCAACAAGAAAAACACAATTTAAAAGTCACGGAAAACAAAGATGTTTGGACCCAAAAAACAGTGGCTGGTCTTTAGCACTGTCCTTTACTGTGGCAATGCACGAGTTCCCATATCAGAGCAATGTGGCCCAACAAGAGGGGATCTGCGACTGTGTCTGTTTAAAACCCAGTTTGTTTTTGCAGATTTGCCAAGACTAGGTTCACTAAAAAACAGTTTTTACTTGTTAGCATTAGCAAACAGACAACATCTCGGCTAGTAGAAGCTGACCATTAGCATTAGCAACTCCATCACACAGCAGAACTCATCCAGGCTTGTATTTTTTGTGGAGATAAAACATCAATGTTGCAGAGCAACCAGAGTCAGTGGAAAAGTCACGTTGCTGTAAGCCAATCAGAGGCTAGATGTCTGAATATCAGGAAATAACACTCTAAATCCTGCCGTCTTCTGCTCCCCGCTCCTCTGGCTAATTTTTACTTCTGCAACAGGAGCTCCGGGGCTTTCTCCTCCACATTTATGCTAGAGACCACTGCAAATGTGTTGAAAAAACTAGTAAACTTGGTATTTAGCCAAAAATATAAGAGAGATGGAAACTATTGCAAAGTTCCGACCAAGACAAGTCTTCACCGTTTTACGCAGTTACCTGAGATCACTTAAAAGTAATTTTAGCAAGATTTCACAGACTTGAGTTCTCAGTCATGTGAGTGCTGTGAAAACACCACAGCTCAGACGAGGCAAACGGTGACTAAGTGTGAAACAGAAGTTCTGCCTTTGTCTGATACTTTTAAATTGCACCATTGTAATAAAATCAAAATGAAGAAAGAGACGCGAGCAGTGTGCACATAGCAACCCGAATAAAACAGCCCTTTTTACAGGATGAAAACCAAATAAATAAAGCGCTTCAAATAAACATTTCACGTTGAACCTGACTTGTTGTTTGTGTGCGTTTATGTGCACCAGGATTTGGAATGGAGGCCACTCTCCTGCTGGTAGTTGGCTTCTCACATACTAAAGGTGTTGCCATCACGTTTCTGGTCCTCGCCGTGGGTTTCTCTGGTTTTGCCATTTCAGGTGAAAGAAAATACAAACATATTCTTTGCCCCACAGATTTTAAAAAATGTAAATTTAAATGTCTAAATTTAACATCTCACAAGGTAACTGTGTGTTTCCTCCCAAGGTTTTAATGTGAACCACCTGGACATCGCACCACGGTACGCTAGTATCCTCATGGGCATTTCTAACGGTGTGGGCACTCTGTCTGGGATGGTTTGTCCACTAATAGTTGGAGCCATGACCAAAAACAAGGTGAGGGCTGATTCAGAATCTCCGAGTTTTTTATCATCATGGTCATCCAGCAGAATTATCACCGGAGTTACTACAGAACACTTATCCATACAAGAAGCATGATTTTATTTTCATACTATGCTTTTTGCCTTTCTTTAAACAGACACGAGAAGAGTGGCAGGGTGTGTTTCTCATTGCTTCAATTGTTCATTATGGAGGAGTTCTATTCTATGGTTTGTATTTCATCCCATTTATTAAACTCTTTATGCTGTTTTTATTGGAATCAATTCAAGAAAACCTGTTCTTTACACTTCTTTTCTGCACTAATTTAATCACGTAATTCCTTTTCATTTTGTGCTTTGAAGGAATCTTTGCTTCTGGAGAGAAACAACCATGGGCCGAGCCAGAGGAGCTCAGCGTGGAGAAATGTGGCATCCTGGATGAGGACGAGCTTGCAAACGAGACAGAGGAACTGTACCGTACGAGCGGCGGAGCAGGCTACGGCGCCATGAACCTGGCTTCTGACCCCAATGGAGCGGGGGGAGGCTGGGTCTCAGACTGGGACAAAACTGATGAATACATCCAGCCAGCCGGCACCAACAACTACCTCTACGGAGACGAGGGAGACCGAGAGCTAACGTAGAAGCAGCAGCTTCCTGTACAGAAGCACAAACTGTGTGACATCTCTGTCTAAAGGAACTTGGAAGGAGTGCATTTATATTCATGTTCAGGATCACATGACTCTCAGTAAGTCTGACTGTATTAACACCAAATAACAGATTTGATAAAGACTGTTGATGTGAATTTATTAGTAAATGTAAAATGTGTGTTTGTGAGTGAAGTCGTGTATCCTGAATGTTTTAGGAGTCAGAAGCCGTCTGGTCTGAACTTTAGGCCTGACGAGCTTTCTGTGATGTTCGGCGGTTGTAGAAATGTCTTTACTAGAGACCACTCGGTATTTAGGTTAACGCCTCTCACTAACTGCTGGAAAAGTGCACGGTCATATTCATGTTGGGTGAGTAGTCAAGGAGGTGTGTTCAATCGGCAGAGGAATAACCAGCTCCACCTATGTTAACAAGAAGATTATTGCAATAACAGTGTTATTTTATGTCCTTAATGAAAAAAAAAACACTGTGCCAATACATCTCAATCTTTTGTCCTTTAGTAGCATAATTATTTACTGGGTTTTTCCTGGCTCAAATTGAGGCAGAGGTGGTACCATCCTGACCATGCGCCAGCACATGCAATTTTTGATCTTCTTTTTCTGCAGCGGTTCTAGTGCTTTTCGGTGCACCGCTGCTGATACAGCGCCCCTACAGTGGCACAAAGCTGCAACTGCAGTTAAATAACATTCATTTAGCTGGGGGCAGAGTGAAATCAGGCTGGGGCGGCACAAAATAAGCTGGAGGCGGCCGCCATGCAAATTTGAACGCAGGAAAACCCCTGTATTTAGCTGTTTGCTGAGTAAGTAAATAAACAGCTGCAGATGTATGCAGCTTTTGGTGAAGTAAATGGAAAACTGATTCGGTTAAACACATCAGACACATCAAAAATAGCTGCTTGGTTAAATACTGACGACTGGAATTGCATCTTGTAGGACTTGTGATGGAGCAAAAAGTGAAAACAAAACAGGATTGTTCCAAATTGTTTTTGAGTTAAATGAAGAATTTTTTAAGTATCCTTGAGTCCGTTTTCTTTTACAATTTGCTCTTCAATCCCTTTTAGGTGTAACATTTTTTTTATGTTGAAATGGTTTGTTTTGATTTAAGTTGGGTTTTGAAGAGTACTCATTAACAGTCAATATCTTATCTGCAGTGGATAGCAATCAGAACAACCTCAGTTTGGAGAATTAGGCAGAAATCCCTTAGCGGGGTGACAGCTAACGGCTAGCTGCACTGGAATCAGTTCCAGAGCAAATGTTTTGTCAGTTTGTGTACAGCTGAATTAAAAGGGAGACATTTTGACTTTTTTTCTTTAGTTATAGTAGTTCATGCAGTTCGTTGCATATAATTCCTCTCACATGAAGCTATTATAGCCAATTTGTTCTTGAAAGTTTCAGTACCTTCCAGAATGAGCCACTTCAGGGCTCTGTCCCTTTAAGAAAGCTGGATCTGGCCATGTCCACCTTCCGCCTCTTAGGCTGCTATAAGCTGAGAAGCTCTGATAAGTGGGAGGAGAAAAGAACAGCTGCTTGCAGTAGAAGCTCTATCTTGCACGTAAGAGGTGGTTCCTTGCTGATATTAGAGATGAGAACTTTATGAAATGGCTCATTTTAGGCACAAAATTCCTGAAAACTATCACTGACAGGAAACAGATGGATGGGATTTATTCATGTGGAAACCCACATTGCAGCCCAAAAAGATGCAAAAGGAAGGTTTTACATTGTATGTCTCCTTCAAAAAACATGTATTATTGTTGTTATGTTCAGAAGGTTTGGACCCAAGGATTCAACCTACACACAACAGACGGAACAAGGAATAAAAGATCATTAATTCAGCAGGAAAACCTGGTTGGATCAGCGTGACATGGCTTGACTCAGCTTGACTTGACTCAACAAATCATACTAGACTTAATGTGAAGGACTTGTCTAGACTGGACATTACTTTGACTTGAGTTGACTGGAGCATTCTTGTGAGTATTCATCTTCAATGCACGACGTAGGTCTGGTCTTTCTTTGAATGCTAAGACCTCCCTATCTCCTGCCGCTTAGCAACCGTGACATTGCTAAGCAGAAGTTAAAACTAAACTAAGCAGTAATACATGAAGAACTATGAAACCCATCATGTGAGCTCATTTGCGAGCATATTTCTTGCTAATTTTGACGACAAAACATTTAAAGAACAAATGTGCAAATGAAAAAAGCCGACACAATTGCTTTCAGGTATTACTTTTTCATTTGGGTAAATAAAGACATATTTAAGGACACATTTTGCCTTGTAGCTTCATTGTTACGTAATCGGCCTTTAAGGCATACTCATAAAGGAAGCAGGTACTGGATTTGGACACAGCTAGCCTGTGTGGTTGCAGGTTGAAGGTTTTAGCTGATAGCCTAGCTTTAACATATAAGCAGCGGGGTTTAAAATTGTTGCATGTAGCGATATCATTGCTAACCACGTAAATATCCAAGATTATTGAGAAAGTAGTTCACACTCAACTTTCCAATTACTTGGGAGATCAAAGCCTTGACCACATTCAGTCTGGCTTTAGGCCTCACCACAGCACAGAAACTGCACACCTTTGTGTACTAAATGATATCCTGGTGACAACTGATACTGGTTCCCATGTCCAACTGTTACTCCTGGACCTCTCTGCTGCCTTCGACACAGTGGACCATGACATCCTACTTAGGAGGCTGGAGTTGTGGGTGGGGGTGAAAGGGACCCCACTTCACTGGTTCAGGTCCTATTTGTCTGATAGGCAATTTTGGTGTTCACATTGAAAACTTTTCCTCTCCATCTACCCCACTTTGCTGGGGTGTGCCTCAGGGTTCGATTCTGGGGCCACTCCTGTTCTCGATTTACTTATTGCCATTGGGGATGATTGTTGCAAATTTTGGAATAAGTTATCACCTTTACACTGACGACTGTCGGATTTATTTGGCTTTAAGTAAACCTGACTCAACTCGCCTTCTCGTTGACTGTATTACTGCAGTTAAAGGCTGGCTGTCAGAGAACTTCCTTTGCCTCAACGAAAACAAGACAGACGCCATTCTTTTTAATCCAGTCAATCCGAAGCATGCACCTGGTGACTTCCCTCTACCGTTTTTAAATTGGAAAACGTGTGTAACCAGTCTGGGAGTGAAACTTGACTCTGATCTGTCAATGAGTTTACAAATTAATGCTACAGTCGGGTCTTGTTTTTTTCAGCTACGTTTAAAGTCAATAGATAAACGACCACATCTGCAGTCTGCCGTTCACGCCTTTATCACCTCACGTTTGGACTATGCCAACTCAGTCCTTATTGGTGTCAGTGTCTCAGACCTGGATTTGTCTAAATCTGAATGTGGGCATCAAAAGGGTATCATTGTTTAGATATGATAATATTTGTTTCTTCAATGATGAATTTCCAAATTCATTTGTTAGAATGTTTAATGGAACAATTTTACACATAAAAATTGTGTTTGACATTGTTCAGAATAAACACTGTGTATCAAATAAGGTCATATGTTGAACTTTATTCCATTTATGTCAACAGACATGCAAAACAACAACAGTGAATCACTTTACTCTTGAATTTCATAAAATTCCAGGTAAAACATCAACAACAGTTAAATGAAGCGTAAAATTCACTTTCTTTACAAAAAAATAAAGTAACAAGTCATCTTTCTAACTAGCCTGGCCTGCCAGACTCCTCCCCAGTTTAATTCTGCACAGAGAAAGGGTTTGGGAACTCTCCTATTCAAATAACCCCACCCTGTGAGAATTCTAACCGAGCCAATCAGCGCTGAGCAGCCTACGTCACACACCATAATGCAGAGTTTGTCGAACATGGCGACCAAAGCGGAGTTCGCTGTGGCTCTTTCCTCTGTTCTAAATGACTTGGACACGTCTTTAAAACAACAAGTCGAAGCGCTAAAAGCATTTACACAAGGGCTCACAGGAGATACAATTATTTACACGTTTACGTTTTTATCTAATGTTTAAATCTATTTATGGCAGTGCCTCCACTTAGCAGGAATATAATAAATTTTCTTAACCCGTTTAGCCCTGCTAAGAAATTACTGAAACCCAATAGGCAACTTGAGAATAAAATTTATATGAACATTTTAATTAACATTTAACAAACATGAGCAACTTACAGTTGAATGAAAAAAGATAATCAATATAAACACGTTGCAGGCCTGAATCGGTGCTTGGGTGCGTGGTGGCAAAAAACAAACAGCCCCTTCGCTCTTTGAGCACGTAAACAAAATAAGCACGTGCATGGTTAGGGTTTTGGTTTTTTGTACTCACAAATCCTTGAGTTATTTTGGTAAAGAGTAGATGGTGGATGTGCAGCTTTCTTTGTGAGGCAGCTGAACAAGATGAGAAGGCGGATGGATGGCAAAGGCAAATCCCCAGAGGTCCTCTCGACAGCAAATCCCACACGTGACACTCAGGATGAAGGGGGAACTTCTTCTCTTTCAGTGGGTCCAAAGATTAACTCCCAGTCCACTTCTTCTGTAGGCTTTTTAAAGTCTGTTACAAGTCGGCAACTCGGCATTAACTGCTGTAATGGTCATCTTTAAGCTCTCCTCGTCAACTATCAGCTCTACTGTGCGCTCTCGCTCTGGTATGCCCCTGACTTTTATTTTCTTTCAGCGCACCCATCGTCCAGCCCACTCTCACTCATTTGGTCAGAACACAAAACCTTAACCAGAGTAAAACTTTACAAAACAAGATTGACACATAAAATAATCACAAGGATAGGTTGTAACATGCCACGTTGCATCCACGTACATTTTAACCCACCGTATGTAACATTCAAGGAACATAGTAAAATGGATGACTCTTTTTTTTCTCCAACTAGTTTTTATTCAATATAAGCAGTTTTTTAATTCTCATTTTAAATTACCAATAGTCTCTGTTTAATGAACTAATTTGTTTTGAACCACTCAAATTAATTCACATTTTTATCTATTAATTTAGATGTTATTATTCCCTTATTTTAAAAATACCTGAGCTTTTATTACACAGCTCATCTCGACTGGGCTACATCCGATTGGTTATTTTTGAGCTGGCTAGTCCCGCCTCTCAAGTGCCTCTCTGCCTGTGAGTTACCAGATGATTTCTCTGTGCAGAATTAAACCGAGGACGAGTCTGGCAGGCCAGGGTACTTTCTAACATCAACAGGAGAAATAAGTTTTCTTTCATTTATCATGTATATTCTTTAATGACTTAATTAAAGTTTTCTGGGGAAAAGTTCAAATCCAAAACACAGTCCCAACGTCAAACTTCTTGTCTTTGTAGCTTTTACTTTTACAGTAACACACATTTGTTCCAGATGTTTATAAACCAAGAGTCTTTGCACAAAACATGTTTTTTTGTATTTCTTCTGCTATAGAATTCAAAAGATATCAAAGGCACCATCACGAATGATTATGGACAAAATGTTATTTTCTGTCCATATCAGAAAATTGCTACTGAGATGCTTTCCTTTTGTTTTCTGTCTCCCTCTGCATTCTTGTTTTGCAGAGTTTCAGATGTATTCCTGTGCAGTCCCTCCATCTTCAGAGCCTGATAATCCCCATCTCCTCTTCCTGCTGATCTCCCAAAGTGTGGTACACGTCCTCCTTTGTCTTTTATTTCTTCAGCACCTGGTAACCTCCCTCTCCTCCTGATGCACCCTCCATCATCAGAGTGTCATATGCAGACTCTTTCATTTCCTCCCCTCTTCAGCACCTCATGTTCGCCAACTTCCTTCTGCCTGCTTGCTGCTCCTGGGTGAATGGTGTCATATTCACCATTGTTCTCGAGCTTGGGGTCACCATGTGGCCTCATCGCCACGTCCACAGACTAGTGTTGTATGTGGTGATAGATGTAAACAATGGTCAAGAGCATGCTGTTAAAATGTGTAGAAAAGCTATAATTCACCTGTTTTGTGTCTCCTCTTGTTCCACATATAAAACACCCCACTTAAAACGGTCAACCCTATCAGGGGTACAGCAGTCAAGACCACAGTCACCACTGGGGAGACGCTGGAGTCGTCTAAAACAAACTTGCAACATGAATGCATGACTCTTTGGACTTTGACAGCCTGCTGCTGTAAAACAAACCATAACAAACAATTTCATTGTGAGCTGAGCTGAAAGTTTTAGAATGATAACTCAATTACAAAATGTTGCACCCACAAAACAAAGATAAGCTTGGAAAAGTCTTGAAAGTTCCCGTCACACCCCTGCTGTCTGGCTTCTTGTCAGGACCAAGCGCTGCCCATGAACCTCTTTCTTGTAGTACCTGTAGGACGTCATGATGGACAGGAACCACTGGAAGAAGAGTAAAATGTGAAAACGTTCATTAAACGGATGATAGAAAGCTGTTGTAGTGAACCAGTTAGAGAGCAGTAAGAATTAGTGCTGAGTACCGTAGTCGGTACTTTTTAAGGCACTGACCGAATTACGTGGTACCTATTGATGACCGATTCACGTGATATGAAACGGTGCCTTGTTTCACTACCTGTCCTTCATTAACAAGAACTTGTGAGACAGCGATTTGCCAAGATAGACAGCAGCGTGATCAGTCCCTGCGGGCGAGCCTTGAACAGAGCAAGCAGCTTGGCACTTAGAGAAAGAAAGCCTCTAAAGCAGGGGTGTCAAATATGCGACCCGCGGGCCGTAACCGGCCCGCAAGCGGGTTAAGTCCGGCCCGCGAGATGGTCCCACTTGGGACTAGATTTCCCTCAATGTGGCCCCTGAGCTAAAATGAGTTTGACACCCCTGCTCTAAAGGTTGGGTCCGCTTCATTAAACGCGATGGGTGACTGGGTGATGATAACATCTGCAACATTCCAAGTGAGATATCATCGTCTTAATCTGTTCCAGCAGGGAAATAAACAGTTTGAGATAACGTTGGCTTGGTATTTTAGCTTCTGTTGCTATCAGCTAATGGTGCGTTCACCATCTCCTCGGAACTCGGAAATTACCGCTTCTGATTAGGAGAAATCCACTGTTTGAAAAAGGAATGAATATACACATGTAACTTTAGTTCACAGCTAAGGTATTTGCTTCAGTGTAATTTGCAGTTTATAAAACTTCAAGGACCCACCCATCACACAGTTCATCCAGAGAGGAAAGGAGAAGAAAAGGAGTACATGGAGCTGGGTTTTAGTGTGTGAAACACCACATTAAAATACAAACAGTTGTATGGTATTTATCATGATGTGTATCAAATATGGTTATATGCTGAGAAGAATTAAATAAGAAAGTTATTTCACTATTAAACACTCAAAAGTATCAAAAATTGGTACCATTAAGTACCGGTATCGATTCCTAGGTACTGGTAATTGGTACCATATCAGTACAAATGTCAAAGGTACCTATTCCTGGTAATAATAATAATAATAATAATAATAATAATAATAATAATAAATTTCTGATCATTCAGTATTTAACAAATCTGGTCATAAATTTTGGCTTTTTCTGTGCTGCTTCCAAGACAAGAAACAAAGCAAGTTTGTGGTTTTTATTCCAGTATTTTTTTTTCTTCCAGAAATTCAAATATAAAAGTTTTGTCACATTTCATGAAGCACATTGTGCAACAAATGAGGAAAGAAATGCTTTCTCCAACAAAAATTGTCAAATACTTCTGCACATGTCTTCGTTGTTACAAAGTATTTGTCAAACTTGTTTGCCTTCATTTAAATTTATTGCATTTTTAAAAAGGATACTTTGAGGTTTTAGGATTACTTGAAATGGCCAGCAGAGTCCAGCATTGCTTCGGTTTTCTATTAGAAAAAACAAGGTTTTCTATCAAACATTGAGATTATTCATTTCTTTTTATGAATAATCTTTTTTTGCAGTTAACATCTCAAATAAATAAAACGGTTCAGCGATGACCGTGTGTTTTCATTGTCACCATTAAACTTTCAAATACAAGCTAGCTTTTAATTTTTGACTCTGCTTTACCTGCAGCAAAGTAGCTGCATGCATTAAAATATCGAACATATGCCCCGTCTGCTCATGACCCACTTTTCCCTCTTTGTGTGTGGAACTAGACAGGCTAACACTGAAAGGCACATTTAAAGGACACCAAGCAGCAATGACACAAGGAGCATAAAGATGGGATGAACGTGAGTTGAAAATGCGACGCAGCGATGATAAAGGCAAGCACCTATGAGGGCTCTCATCAATGCAGATCATGTGGCGTCCTGAAAAGGCTGAATGTGGCTGAATTTATCTCCTCTAAAAGGGAAGCACAGTGTTCTGTTGGGCACATGAATGTGTTTAAGACAGCTTTATCCTCCTTGTTTCTTTGTGAAAGTGTTTATAAAACAAGCTCAAGGGCAGGTTTTCACTCAAACTCTGCATCAGTGCTGTTCACCGCAACCGCCTTATTACAGAAACCAGTCGGTATGTCTATCACTTCCTGAATACTTTTACAAACTTAAATGTAAATGTTTCATTTGAGTTTCTTTGTTAATCATGAGCTGACAGTTTTACCCAGTGGGTCACAGATGGTGATGCTGTCAGCCTTTGAGCTCACCACAAACAAACAGGCATTACCTGGATTCACGAGGACCCTGCTGCCAAAGTTTCAGCATCCAAACGGCGTCAGACCAAAGTCTGCATGTCTGCATCCAAGTTTCACTCTTTAAGTCACCTAAATCCAGCAGTTACTGTCAGATGAAATCAACTATGACAAAAAACGGCTACATCATATATTGCTGTTTACACCAGGCACATGTTTTTTCACCAGAGAAGGAATTTCTGATCTCCCAATTTAGTGACTTACAACAAAAATGCAGATTTTGTGAGCTGAGCAGTGTTGCAGCCTAATGAATCTCTGCACAGGTGATTCAACCACTGAATCTAGTGTGTTGGAGCTGAGAAACCAGTAAAACGTGCCAGATGTGGGCCTTCCAGGACCGGAGTTGGATAGCCTCGGGCTTGGGTCTCATTTGCTGGTTTGAGATGTAGAAAAATATTGAAAAATGCATTTTTGTATTTCGGGCCAAGCTTGGAAATCCTGATTAATTTCATCTGTCCAACCAGCTCTCATTGCTCTTAACCTTGGCTCTGCTCCCTGCAGGTGATGCATCCATAGAGATGGTTCCCTGTTTTTCTCCTTTTAAAGGGACTTTAAGGAGTTTTGAAATTTTATGCTCGCGATTGCCCCCTCAGGCCAAAAGCGTAACAGCAGCTTCAATAGTAGGCTCGTGCACGAGGCGGGCATGCTGTACGTGCACACTCCTTAATGAAAATAACAGCTGAGACAGTCCCGTGTGTGTGTGTGGGTGGCCCGGAGGACAGAGGACAGGAGAACACGCAGCTAATTAATTAAATAATTTGGTTCTGTACCTTTTTATCTTCAGCACAGCCGACAAAGGTTTAAGATGGGTTCTCCTGCATGCTCAGACCATTCCATTCCCTTGCTTGAAAATTTGTTGCAAAATGAAAGTTGAACCCACATCTTTTTTTTTATCTGTGAATGCAATGCCGTTCGGCGAGTCTCAAGAATTTGGGCATCTTACTGTAGAAAGGAAATTCTAAATGAACTATGTTCACATCCAGAATCGAACCCAAATCTTCTGCATGGGAGTCAGACATCTTACAAGGTGAACTACACTCTAGTAATATTCACAGTATCTGTAACTTTTATATCCTTGATGACAGCTGAAACAACGTCAAACCAAAGAATGTTTCGAAGCAAAAATGGCTATTTTGTTGCTAATTTGCAGGAAATATCTAGAAGAAAGTTCTACAGAAAGTAGCTAAGGGTCCTCAGAAATGTAGCTAGCTTCATCACTAGGCGTTAGGAACAGCGACAAAGTCGCTGAGTTGGCACTACCTCTCTCTCTGCTGCTAAAGCTACTGATAGCAAAAGCTACGGGCGATGCCTGAGTGTGAACGCACATGAAGCAGCCTGCTCGACCCAAGCATCTCTCTTTTTCTGTGATTTTACAGAAAAACAGGCAATCACAGTAAAAATGCCAGGGCTCATTCTACAGGACCAGGGCATTGCAGGAGAATGTATGAAGAAGACATTTATTATTTCTATACATGTTTTGGCTGTCAAACTTCCATAATGCCCCTATAAAGATTAAGTTCACTATTTTAGTCAACAGATGTGCAGTGGTTTCTAGAACGAGTTAATGCCTTGTGAGTTGGTCGCAGTGGGGAAAAAAAAAGCTCTGGCGCTCCTGGTTCAGGAACTAGAAGTGAGCCAGAAGAGAGGTGAGCAGAAAACAGCAAGTTCTTTTTTCCTGATATTTGGACATCTCGCCTCTGATTAGCTAACAACAACGTGACTTTACCGTTGACAGTTTGCTTTGCAACATTGTTGTTGTATGCCCATATTGCTCATTTTCAATATGGCGCAGGTTTGACTGACTTTTCTAATGCAAACTCTGATGCACCAGCATTTGTAATTCGACACCAGCCAGCAAAGAGCAGCAACGTTGTGGAAAGACTTGAAGCCAGTAAAAGGAGCAATTCAGAAGTTAATTCTTGAAATCCCAAGAAGCCACAGCATCCTTTAAATTTGGCTGTTATTACATCAGGTAATGAAGGACAGAGGCTAACGTTGAGCTAACAATGCTAATGGCAAATGATATAGCCTGCTCTAAAAATGTTACAAGCTACTTTTTCAATTAACAACAGCTCTAAATTACATTGAAATGTATTTATCTACTTATCAACTTACTGTGAATGACTCATCTTCGCTTGTTATCTAGAATCTTCTGGTGCTGATCTGTAACTGGCACCTGTTGCTCATAGCGGACTTGTTTGTTTGATACGTGGACTGCAGAACCATAACTGACCACAGAAATCTTTTTTACTTCATGCACCTTTAAACAGAGAGAGAATTTCCTAATGCATGTAACTGAACAAACTCAGAAGGTATGTCAAGCTGATTTTTGGCAATGACACTCGAACAGCAAGAAAATAATAGGAACATCCCTGCTTATTTTAGGAGTAAACAAAAAAAAATGTTCTAACAACCAAAGACTGCTGGTATGTTTTAAACTGATTTACTCATAATTATTCATCTGGATGAATGAAAGATTTCTTGAAGAATATCCACCTTTCAGTTCTCTCTCCAAAAGACAAACCATAGATTATCTGGCTGGAGGCAGCGCCATCAACAATGGTGCCTTTTAAAA